CACATCAGCAGCTCAGCAGGGAACGTTGGGGTGTGCTCCTGTCACATGCGTTTCCTTTTCCACTGCTGTTGAGAACCACCTGAGGGAACAGACGCTATCAATACTTTGTGGCTAGATGCACCCAATTACCTCCACCACCATCATCATCATCATCATCATCACATCCTCTGAATCTTCCCACAGCTTCTCTCTTACATAATCCTTCAAGGATTTCAAGGCCACACCAGCAAAGAGCTTTGACCTCAGTCTCATGTTTGCTGATATTGCTGTTTTGAAATGTTGTATCCAATATTTATGGGCGGCACAGCAGTGCAGTGGTTAGTGCTGTCACCTCACAGCAAGAAGGTTCTGGGTTTGAGCCGTGGGGAGTGTGTATCAACTTTTCTGCATTTTAATGCACATATCTTGGCACCAGTCTTCCACATGTCATAACCCTCGTTTATTCCCTTTACACCCGTGACACACAAAGAAATGCATAACAGTTAACACGTGATGTTTGTCTGCGTGAAGTTAGTCATGTTTTTGGTGTATTTAAACAAGGCTGAACTGCTCAGCTCTGCAGGACTCGACCTGTGGCAGTGCTGTATGTTATAGGGAACAAAACCCAGCAGGATTCATGGAATGTGCTCAGATTGCAGAAACCCAGTGACTGATGGGTCAAGAATCAGGATCATAAAACAAACAAACCCCCCCCCCCAGGGTTCTACTGTGTTTAGAGACTCTACCTGCTCATTTCATTTCACAAAGCACTTACTCACATTAGTGACGGCTGTTTGTGCTCGTGTCCTGCAGCTTTCTTTACATGGCTTGTTAGTGTTATGAATGAACTGAAGGAGCCATGGCGCCTAAACTGCGTTCCAAGAAGTTGTAAAGGAGCCCGAGGATGAAAAACTTTTGTTCAGCTTTGTCCTGCTCTTTTTCTAGAGATCTGACAAATGAGTAAACCTGGCTCTTATTGTCCCCTCTGCATCAAACTGACAACAAGAACCTCAGATAAACAACACATCTCTTATCAAGGCGTAACAAAAGTCTGAAACGTATCAGCCTAAAGGTTAAACTGATGGAAAACAAACCCAGCCAACCAGTCTCTGTCTGTTTGCTCTTTGTTGCGATTGTTTGCCGCCTGTAGCTGCCACTGAGGGCACAGAGTTCATATACTCAGCGCTGTTTATGGAAATTTTGGGATTTTAACAACCTGACTGGGGGCAGGGGGCAATTAATGATAAATGCACATGGTGGGGTTTTAACACATATTTGACCGTGCTTTAAAATCACTGTTTAAATGGGAGTGAGTAATTAAAACCCTGAGACATAAACACACACCCACTGATGTGCATCCTGTTTGTTTTTCAGTGTCTTCCAAAGCACATATGACCTTTACCAAAAAAGTCCTCTTCCTGCTCTGTGGTTAAATTTAGCCTCAACACTACTGGGTCAAAGGGGCCCTGGGAAGTTTGTTTTCCACTAGGTGTGCTACAAAGCAATGTTTTGATGAGTGGACCTCACTTTTATTTGGAACTCATACACATGCACATACCAGAGTGGATTAAGAAGGAGAGTGACAGCGTCTCCGTTGACCCTATAAGGACCGTGGCTTTTTAATGGCAGATCACGGGAACGCCGATTTGTTCCAAACATTGGCAGCAGCGCCGTAGAGTTACATTAACTTGGCTGCTCTCATCTAAAATAAGACGTTCATATCAATAGCAATAGTTATATTACTGACATTTTAAGTTGGCAACATGAGTCAAAATGTGTTTTATAACCTTGTGACTGTGTCCCTCAAATACTGGGTCACTTGAGGTACCTAGCTAACTAGCTAACTAGCTAAATTAGCTGAGCTATTCTCACCAACAGAACAGAATTAGTTTGTTAGTTCCAGTCATTTGCTGATAAATCCTGCTGTTCTCTGCAGAAAACAGTGGATCTGAATTGAAACTATTTGAAACTACACGAGTCGTATGACCCGCTGCCATTTTGACCCCTCAGCTCTTCTATCTTATAGGCTCTGATACTCATGTGAGCAAACTGCAAGTTCCCATTAAGCCCAGCAGGACTCCTCTGCTGGCTTAAGACTTTATTTTCAGTTCATTTGTGGTTACAGTCACAGCATATAAAAGTCTCACAGCTATATTCTGACATAGGGCTCCTTTAAAAGACATGGCCACAACTTTAGTGATGACTGTTCCTTGAAAATGTGCCTTTATTGCCACCACAATCATGCAGTGGACTTGGGGCTTTTGTGACCCCTCAGGGTCTGGGGGTCCAGGCCATTAGTCCAGCTTTGGTCATTGTCAGAATAATGGAAAAACAGGTCATTTTCAGATATGAACATACAACCGATGTGATTTTGCTGGCAAGCACGTCACCTGCCCACAGGGGCGTCTGTGGTTTCTCCGTCCCACACGAGACAGTTTAGACCGAAGCTGCCTGTTCCCTATCACACAGCTGAGGGAGTGTCGGCTTTCAGGGTCATAGCTGATTCGAAGCGGAGAGTGTACGGAGGGTGCACGGAGGGCCACCTCTGCCAACTCAAAGAGGAAAAAAAGTGTTTAAATTACGAAACTCAACACCCCCTCTGTGTCTGTTTGACCTGTCTGACCCCACAGCTGACTAAAATCCTCAGTGTGCCAGATTCCAACAGGGTCCACATCAGTGTTCAGGGTTAAAGTCAAAACAAGGACAGAGCTCGCTCTAGACGATCCTGTTTGACTTCTTGTTTTACTGAAGAAGGACAGATGTTCAGGGTTTTATCGGATTATCTAATAGTGGTTAGTAGGAGGGACTTGTAAATGAAAATATCACCAGTTGTTTGACCTAAAAGTCTGATTAAAATAAATCTTTGAACATAATTTGTTCTCTTGGTGAAAGGTAGGTGATATAGTTTTGACATCTGTTGACTTCAGAACTCAAAAATGAATCTGTAAAAAGGATTTGTTCAGTTGTTTTGTTGCCTGCGCTGCTTCTAACTTGTTCTCCAAGGTTTTTCATCTGGGAATATTTGTTCCATTCTCTTCACTTCCTTGTGACAGCATCGTGCTTTTATCTTAAATCTGAAGCTAAAGGGTTTGTTTCCACTCAGGGCAGATGATAGCAGGTCAGTGATTCAGTTTTGTGGCCATGCTCGTGTGTTCATGTGTAATTCCAGAGGAAACAATGGAGACAGTGTCACAATTAGTCTGTCACTTTCTGCTGAGTGAGCAAGAAGTCAGCGATGAGACATGAAGGCCTCATGGATGCTTCTCCATGCTGGGAACATGTGAAGGAGCCTGTGAGGATGGAGGGGGAGGGGTGCATCCATTACAAGTATGGACACATCTAGCTTCTGGTTACAGTCATGACAAGCTGTGTGAGCAGCAGTGCAGGGGATCTGACAGAGGTATTCAGAGGGAGCACGGAGACGTGTCTGAACACGGAGCCTCTGCAGTCTAACAACAAACCCCCACCAGGCCACTGTGCTTCAGCTTGACATGGCCAAGACCCTGCAGAGATCCAGAAGAAGCCAGTCCACTTTCAACCACATGACCTCTGCTGTCGGGGACAAAGGCCCTTGACTGGAAACCTTAGAGGTGAAGATTAAGCACAGTACAGTTAAGTATTTCTGTTACGTCAGTGAATAACTGAGTGGTCTCCTCCAGGATGGCAGAGCCCCCCCGTCCACAGGACACGAGGGGGTCACTGACTGGTCTGATGAGGATGAATATGATGTGAATCAGCTGCATGTTAAACGCTGGCTGTGGTCGACACATCCCAGCGGTGGAGGACAGACTGCAGGCAGTTTATGCTCATGTTACAGGTGTACTTTTCACTGCCTGAGGTTTTATTGCATGTACAGTAACGAGCCCAGAGACTGTTAACTCACTTCAGCCCATGTCGCGCTCTCCTCCTCGGCCTCTGCTGATGTGTGTGTTCATCACCAGGAACACACACATCTGTGGTTTGTTCTGACTCAGTCCCACACACCACATGAGACCAAATGTGGATTCATCCGCCGCTGAAAATAGTCCCCAACATGTGCACATCTGATTGTTTTCTTTACGTATCATACCAGGTAATCGAGTGATTGTCATAAACAACAAAAGAATGAAGAAATGTCCGGGGTAATGTCTTTCACTGTCTTGTTTTGTCCAA